GAAGCACACCAGCTTGTGTGATCGAAAGAAGACAATTAAAATTTTTTAATATGGCGAAGAGAAAAGTATCAGAGCTAAAATTTTGAAGTGCCAATTTATAGGTGGCTATGGAGGACAGTGAGAGCCCAAAACCTCTCTGCAGAGTATCTAGTCAGACTGAGCCACTGCCAGATCCGCTCCAGCCAAAGGCAAGAATCTCCAACAGCCTTGTTGTCAGGTAGAGACTATTATAATCTTGAATATGCAGAATCGAACTTAATACAGATGACCTCCCTATAGAACCAGCATTTTGGTCTTCATATTATTATTATTTTATCCTTAGCACCTTATTTTGATTTGGGTTTTTATTGCTTCTGTTGTGTTTCCCAGTTCGTGACCCACAGGAGTGGATGCACAGTGATAATAACTAATATAGAGTTTGATTGAGGATGCAGGGGTGGGTGACATGGAGGGAAAGGGGATTTCAGGAGTGAGAAATGAAGGTAACGGGGGAGGGAGTAGTAGAACTGACTGTGATTGCACAACTAATTTTAAAGGCAATTTAACCATGGATGGGGAGTTGTTCTAAAATTGAATACGGTAATGATTGTACAATTCTCCTTTATATGATTGAACAATTAAACTATTGAATTGTATGCTATATAACTTATTTGCAAATAAAAATGTTCTAAAAAATTTACAGAATGACTACTAGAAGCAAAAAGTTAGAATAGGTAGCTTGAGGGATAAAAAATAATATACAAAAATCCATTGTATTCTCATTCAAATGGAATTTGAAATTATACCAATTTCACTTAAATAGCAAGAAAAAATAGGAAAATATTAAGCTGATATATGCAATGCAAGAACTGTGTAATGGAAATCACAAAATATTGTTAAACATTTTTTTACTTTTTAAATTTTTAAATCATTTTATTGGGGGCTCTTACAGCTTTCATAACAATTCATACATCAATTGTATCAAGCATATCTGTACATATGTTGCCATCATTTTCTAAACATTTACCTTCTATTTGAGCCCTTCATTTTTCCTTACCTCCCCCTCCTCCCACCCTCATGACCCCTGGATAAATTATAAATTATTATTGTTTTCATATCTTACACCGACCCTTCACCCACATTTCTGTTGTTCATCCCCCTGGCTCGGGGGAGGGCGGTGTTATCTGTCCATCATTGCTATTGGGTTCCTTCCTCCTCCTTCCTTCCATCCTCCCCGGACTTTCCCCCTACCCTCCTGGTATCACTACTCCCATTTCTGTTCCTGAAGGGTTTAACTGACCTGGATTCCATGTGTCATGAGTTCTTATCGATACCAGTGCATGCTCCAGTATAGCCAGAACTGAAAGGCTGAAAGACTCAGGTCATGATAGTGGGGGGTGAGGAAACCTCAAAGAACCAGAGGAATATTGCATGTTTCATAGGTACTATACTGCACCCTGAATGACTCATTCCTTCCTTGTGACCATTCGGTGAGAGGAAGTCCTACTGTCTACAGATGGGTTTTGGTTCTCAGCTCTGAGGCCCCTCATTCAAACAATGTGTTTGTTGTTGTTTTGGGTTTTCTTGTGCCTGTTACCTGATTCCATCGACACCTCATGATCGCACAGGCTGGTGTGCTTCTTCCATGTGGGCTTGTTACTTCTCTGCGAGATGCCCACTTGTTTAACTGCAAGCCTTTATGATCCAAGACACTATAACTTTTGATAGCCAAGCACCATCAGCTTTCTTCACCACATTTGCTTATGCACCCATTTTGTCTTCAGCGAATGTGTCAGGAGTGAGCATCACAGAATGCCACGTTGTTAGAACAAAGTGTTCTTTCATTGAGGGAGGGCTTGAGGGAGGCCCAAAGTCTGTCCACTTCCTCAATGTATTTCCACATAAATATATGTACAGAGGCTAATACTTCTATTTTTTGAATTAATATATTTACATAAGTGCACACATGTATACCTCTATCCATAGCATTGCTTTCTAGATCATTCCTGTTTCCTTTTACCTTCCACCTGCCCCACCACCATGCTTGCCCTTCTGCCTCTTAGCAATTCCTCTCAGCTAGATTGTTCTTGCTCCAACACCACCACGATCTCTATGTCCTCCTCATTGTTGCTTTTTAATTTCCTAATTGTTCCCCTGTCCATGGAGTTGTTTGCTCACTGCTCCTGTCCCCTGCCTCCACCTCCACCTCCACCTAAGTCCCTCTGGAACTGTCTGTCTTGTTGCTTTCTCCTCAGGCTGGCTTCCCATCCTATCCTATATAGGTAGGCAAAACAACAATAACAGAGACAAAAGAAAATGAAAAGATTGCAAAAAAAGAGAGAAAAAGAAAAATAATGAAAAATCATACATAATTCCAGGTCTGTATGCTGACCTTTATGACTATATCCCCACCAGTTCTGGGGGATTCTGGGAACTTCCCCTCCTTGCCTGAAGATTTTTTTTTTTAGGGAGGTGGTGCTCCTCAGGAGTTTTGTGGCTTTGCTTTCCTCCAGTTGCTGATCTGTTATGTTCCCTTCTTGGTTCGCCCAAATTAAAGATGACCTATGCAGCAACACATTGACAGCGAACTGCCAGAATTTCAAGCTGAATTCAGAAGAGGACAGGGAAAAAGGAGTATCATTGCTGATGTCAGATGGACCTTGGCTCAAAGCTGAGAGTACCAGAAAGATGTTTACTTGTGTTTCATTGACTATGCAATAGAATTTAACTGTGTGGACAACTCTGACAAGAATGGGGATTCCAGAACACTTCACTGTACTCATTTGAACTTGTACATGGATCAAGAGGTAGTTGTGTAAACACAACAAAGAAATACTATATGGTTTACAACCAGGACAAATGTGCATCAGGATTGTATCCGCTCAGACTTGTTCAATCTATATGGTGAGCAAATCAAGAGAAGCTGAATTATATGAAGAAGAGTATGGCAATCAGGATTGGAGGAAGACTTATTAACAACCTGCAGTACGTAGGAGGAATTGAAGCACTTGCTGTTGAAGATCAAGGATTTTACCCTTCAGTATGAATGACAACTCAACATAAAGACTAAAATCCTCACAACTGGCCCAATGTGTAACATCATACTATATGGAGAAAAGACTGAAGTTGTCAAGGATTTTGTCTTAACTTGGATCAACAATCAATGATCATGGAAGCAGCAGTCAAGAGATCAAAATAAGTATTCCATTAGGTAAATATGCAGCATACGACCACTTTAAAATGTTTAAAAACAAAGAATGGTACTTTGAGAACAAAGGTACACCTGACCTAAGCCATGCTATTCTTAACTGCCTCGTGTGCATGCGAAAATTGGACACTGAATAAGGAAAACCAAAGAATCAATGCATTTGAATTATGGTGCTGACGAAGAATATTGAAACAATATTGCCAAAAGAACAAACAGATCTGCCGTGGAAGAAATACAGCCAAAATGCTCACTAGAGGCAAGGATGGTGAGACTTCATCTCATGTATTTTGGACATGTTGTCAGGAGAGACTAGACCCTTGAGAAGGATACTTATGCCTGATAAAGCAGTGGGACGGTATAAAAGAAGACCTTAGACAAAATTGATTGGCACAGTTGTACTGATGGGCTCAAACATGAAACAATTGTGACAATGGCACAGACTCAGGTAGTGTTTCGTTCTGGTGTACATAGGATAACTATGAGATTCAGACAATTCAATGGCACCTATTAACAACTTTGGACATATTGTCGGAAAACACCAATCCCTGCAGGACATAATGCTTGCTAAAGTAACAGAGCCATGAGAAAAGAGTAAGACCTTCAACAAGATTGATTGACACAGTGGCTGCACAGATGGGCTCAAACATAAGAACAATTGTGAAGATTGGACAGGAATGGGCAGTATTTCATTTTGTTGTACATAATGTTACTATGAGTTGGCACCAACTCAATGGCACCTAAGAATAACAATAATACTATCCAAAATAGACTGTTGAGAATGAATAAAGCCACAGACTGAAATAAAATATTTGCCAATAACCTGTTATGAAAAACGGAACTGAAAGATAAAGGACTTGTTACAAAAACTTCTTGAAACCTTTTATAAAAAAATAAAGGATTTATAATCAAAACATATAAAGAACGTCCAAAGTTCAATAAGAAAACAAACAACCCCATAAAAATGGACCATGGATTTAAATAATAGAAGCTTTATATGGAATATTAAAACTTGAAAAAACCCATATATCTACCAATAGGTAAATAAACTGTAGCATAGCCATAAAATGGAATAGTCCTCAGTAATAAAAATGGATATACTTGAGTATAAGCCGACCCGAATATAAGCCGAGGCACTTAATTTTACCACAAAAATTGCATTAAAAATGTGCTGAAAAACTCAGCTTATACATGAGTATATATGGTAAATTTCAAAATAATGATGCTTCATTAATGATTCTAGAGGGAAAAAAGGACATATTATATGCTTCATTTACATAAAGTTCTAAAAAAGACAAATCATATACTTACTGAAAGCAGATTATTCACTGGAGTTGTGGTAGGAGGAACAGATTAAAAAGGGCCCAAGAAAACATTTTGGGGGTAATGGTTATGTCCATTATTTGTGTTCATGATATCACATGATCAATATCAAAATTTATCAAATTTTACATGTTAATAAGAACAGTTTATAATTTGTTAATAATACCTCCATAAAACTTTTCAAATAAATTAATTAAACACTACTCCCACAGGAATTTAGGTGGCTTGAATATCCAAAGTCTTAGACTTGTCCCTATCTACTTTACCTAGTTATTTATGCTGTTCTTATACCTAAAAGAATACTGAGCAACAAGGGGATGCTCTAAATGAAAGGCAGAAAGAAAATGTCATTAATTATGACAAATAGTAGATACTATGAACATAGAATAATTATCATTTAAAATTTTTCTAAGAAAAAAATAATTAGCAAAAACAAAAACTATTTTTCATATTTATGTTTAAACAAAGTAAAAATTTACACACAGATTCTTACCTCTTTAGATAATCTTGTGAAGACATCTCCTCCCCTGAGAAAATCCAGTATTAAGTATAACTTCCCTTCAGTCTGAAAGGCTGGTTAGAAAGCAGTAAAAGAATAATCTTTTTTAAAAGCTTAGGATTTTTAATTAATAAATCTGTTTAGAATGGCATTATGAAACTATACGACAATTAAGTATTTACTCACCTGATCCATTGCTGGATATTATATTAAAACTAAACCCAGTGTTAAATTCAACAATAAATACCTAGAAGCCTTTCATGTGAACATGATCAACCTTGCATGTGACTTTAAATGGAAATTTACCAACATAATTTTCCTAATTAATGAAGCCTCACATCTTAACATAGTTCCTGAGCTCTAAATGCCACTTCCATACTTCTTGAAAGTAGACTAATTACTTAAATTTCAACAAAAATACTACTTCCTCTAATAAGCCTTCAAGGATTATCCCCACCCACCCCACCCAATCTTCTGCTTCTCTTTGCTTCAACCTCCTCTCGAGGAGAACAAATTATGCCTACTTTTGAGATTCCATTGTACTTTATACCTTTCTTATTGGACTCATCTTGTTCAGGTTGGAAGCAACTTGATATTAGTGAACTTGTTTTGTGTTTTGACATTCCTAATAGACTACAAATTCCTTTAACAATTATGCTCATCTCCTTTTAATAATTTTGATCCATTTAATACATTGTTTTGAACACAACAGATATATGAGGTAAGAATCTAATGGTATACTGAATATGACAAGGAGTACCATATATAGTTGTGTATAAGCCGAGTTATTCAACACATTTTTTATACAGTTTTTGTGGTAAAATTAGGTGCCTCGGCTGTTATTCATGTCCGCTTATACTCAAGTATATATGGTATTTTAAATACGACTACTATTGATGGAATTAGGGGAACTAGGAGTAAAAAATAATAGACAGGAATTTCTTTGGAGTTTTTAATATAGATAACCAGTGACATATTTTAATATATTATTTATGGAAGTTACACTAAAAGGAAAATCAATAGCTACTAAAATCTACATCTAAAAAAAATGGGCAATGATGTAATAGACTTTATCAATGATTTAACAATACATAACCTTTTAAGGAAAACAAATTCCACAATTCCTTCTACATATTAAATTAGCAGTAGAGCTACAATTCAAACTCAGAATTGTTTGACTCTAAAGCTCATGTGGTTTTCATTATATCTACTGCTTTATACTAGCATTTTCCATATATAACAAATTAATATAACTCAATAATTCTCAACAGAACCAGCAAATATGCTTAATATTAACATTAGATATGAGAAAAATATTCAAACATTAGAATGGTCAAAATTATTTATAATAACATTATACCTGAGTTATCAATTATTTTACTATCTGATATTTGGCATTTATAAATATAGTGAAAAACTATGTTGCACATTAAGGGTGTGTGTCTGGCAATAATAAATGCTGAGGGCAAGGCAAGACTAACATTGATGGTTAAAGCTATGTGTCAACCTGCCTGGACCATGATTTTCAGAGTCTTGGCAGCTATACAATTATGTAAACTTTCAGTTACGTGATGATGTAATTTAGAAATCATCTAATGAATAAATTTGGAAGTTATATAATGTAGTCATTTCCATTTAATGATCTAAAATGCTCA